TACATCGGCTAGGTCCTGTAGAAGTGAGACTAGCTGACTTTCGCATGAGAAACCATTTCTGAAACCGTATATTTGTAATACATACATAATGCATTGTGCCTGTTTCACCGGCGCCTGATAAAAGTGTCTGATAGCCTATCCAGAAGTTATCTTACTTATTTGTTGAAATTGTTTTACGAGTGTCTGATAATTCTATCCAGTGGTTAAAGTATCCGGTAAATAATCTAGAGGTAGGTGAAACTGTTAAATGTTTATCTGGTAGATAATTTCAAAATAACAGAATTTGTGTGTGAACTTGCTCTGATTTTCAAGGAATATCTGTGGTGTTTCAGTGATGGACATCGTAATTAAGATGATAGACGACGAGTTCTTTGATGGTTTAGAGCGTCCGCCCAGACGACATGCCGGCCAGAATATTGTGAGATTCTTTAGGAACAAGATTGCAAATCCCGTTTTAAGTTAAGGAAGCATACGATTTGCAAAGCTATACCTTTGATAGAACAGAAAATAAAATATTTGTGAATACCAACTTGTATTTCTGTAATGTCCTGGTAAAGTAATGGTCCTGTTAAATTCATTTTATGTCAAAATAATAAAATGTATACTTTGTGTTTTGTTAGCAATTATGAGATATCCCCAATGAACGACTTCCTACACTGCGTTATTTTGCAACGGGATCATTTTTTTAAAATTGTAATTTGAGTCTTCACTGAGGTGAGCAAAGTACTGTTTCAAGTGTAGTGAGTTGGTGAGCTTCCAAGGAATATTGAAATCATCCAAGAAGAATTTTGTGAAATTTCTAAATTTTCTAGACTTCTCGCACCAATAGATTGCACATATGTTCCCATACAATCACCCGAGTGAAAGGGCAATCAGCTAGGTTATTTATCAGAACGATATGTGTCAGATATTTTAACAAGAAAGATCTTGGTGAAACCCAAAATAAATAGCCGGCACTTTTATCTGATGGATAAAATATCTGTCGGATTAGTATTCGGAACGTTATCAGGCACCGGTGAAACAGGCCCTTAATGAAACAATCAACTCAAAACAAGATAAACAGATTATAAATTCACTTAAAACAATTTCTAATGCCTGAGAAAGAAAATGATTTATTTACAAAATACGTCACGACAATCAACAATACAGGCAGGACAATCCTGATAATGTCCACGGTAAAACGAGGCCACACACGAGAAATAAATATAAGGTTACAATAAGCTAAATAGAAGAAAAAGAAGAGATGGAACTGGATATATACTCTCTGGAACTGGAAAAGAAAAGATGGTATGTGATAATCAAGAGAGAAAGCATGAAAATGGTCCAAACGGTATTTAAATGTGTGAATGCTAGAAGCATGGGCAACAACACTTTTCGGTAGGAACAACTTGCGGGAAAAAATGTCTTTATTCACCTTGTAATTGTGACCACGAAAGTGGAAGTTGGTATTTCGAAAGAAGAAATCGAAACCTAAACATTTGTAGTGACCGTTTACTATTTTGTGAGTTGCAATGAGATCTCTCCGCAAAATCCGGACGTTAGCAGGACAGCGAAATTAAACTCTGAACATTACAACATAAAATTATGAATATCTGATAATTATTTTAGCTGTTCTCTTTCTTTTTATTTTAGCTAGCCTCTCTTCTTCGTTTGAAAACAATCTAGCTAAAATACTCGTATATTAGTATGGAATTTTCTTGAGTGTCGGTCAGTACAAAAATCATTTCAATTGCTTAAGCTTTTATTAAACCTTCATCATGGTTATAATAAAGACATTTTTCCGAGCTAGAATTAATTAGTATATTCAAGCTCTTTGGATTTTTCTTATTCACTTTGAACAAAATATGCCCGAAACGTTAGCAGTTTAAATGATGTTCTTTTTACTGACCGAAACCCAAGAAAATTCCATGCTATCAATCAAAGCGGTTAAGAAATCAAGCACGTCTAAAATATATTCTTCATGTAAGCCCTTATAGACCTTTTTAATATGGTAGCGCCGTTTCTGAACACGCTAGTTCAACTGTTTCTCGGAAGTATTTTGGCTGCCCTGCATTACGTTGGTAATGGTAAAGTAAAATCAAAGTAAAATATGGCGGTGAAAGCGGGCGAGCAAAGTAGTTGCCGTCTGTTGCGTTCGATGAGTGCGAACACTTGAATTTGGGATTTGAGAGCAGTTGAAGTTGTAGTATCAGATGCATTGAGCTTGTTCGAAGAGAATTTTTTTCGCCGGACCGAATGCTTTGAAAGTTTTATTTTATATGAGAAGAGATAATTTATAATGACTGCCGTCATGTCGAAAAAGAAAATTAGCCAGGATGATCTTCGACGTATCATGAATGAACAGAAGCGCAAGTTATCAGAAGCACCCAAAAAAATTGAGTCACCTCTAGCCAAATATCCTTTAATGCTAAATAATTATTCTCCTATTTATCGTGCATTTTGAGATTCTATGTAAAATAGAAACTAAGGTTATGTTCATATGTTTTTAGTGGTTTCGTTGGTCTTACGGTTTGAATTATGTAGTTCTAGTACTTTTATTTTGCAAGTGTAAAAGTGAGAGGCGCTTGTTTGTAGCAAATTATCCATTAGTTATTAGTAATTTCCTGCCAAGTTATTGACCTTAATTTTCATACATATTCTGCCAAGGGAGAACTTACATGCATAGTATGTGATTCTGTGGTACGCAGTGAAGCAGTATGGACTGTACATATAAACAGCAAACAACACCGGGAAAATATTGCTAAACTTAAAAGGAAAAGAGAGCCTGAGCCACCTGCTCCAGTTCCCCCCGTTACATTCAAAAGGCCAGCTCCAGAGCCTCCACCAGTTCCTCCGAAAAAGATAAAAGGTTGGAGATTCTGATACAGTAAAAATAGAAGAGCATGTTCTTGCTGTTATGAATCACCTAACAAACAAACAACAAGAAAAAAGTGGATGTATAAGCTTATTGAATGGATAGTTTGTAGAGTGGGCATAATGGCAAATAATTATATTAAATTTGTCTCTTTTTGTTGTGCTATTCTTATATTCTTGGTGCTCAGAAATTGTAGAATAGAGGACCTGTAATATGTTAATAAATATACAATAATAAATAATATTTCAAATTGAAATGACAGATTATTGAATGACAAGTGACAATACACATTATTTCATGCAATTACAATCTGTTGTGTGAAAGTTTTAAAATTATGATTCTTCTATTATTTGAGAGGTTCAGATTGAAGATTGACGAGTCAATAACGTCAAAGTTGAATTGTAAATTCCTCTGAAGACCAGTAAACAAGTCAACGACATTCAAAGAAAGTATTATTTAGTCGCTCACCGAAAAAAGGTGATCACACAGGTCTTGAAAAAGCAAGGTGTAATATCATGTGAACTAAAATTCCTTTTTGCAGTGGGATGGTTGTGAACTGTAGATATGAAAATGTGTATGAGAAGAAATTGTAAAACTTATTTTCAATATTTTATTAGCACATTATATAAAAACATTTTGCTTGTGCAAGAGGAATTTATTTAATACGTTATTAGAAAGTTTACTCTTAGTGAATAATTCTGCCTTATATTTTAAGAAAAAGCTTTAATATGGAAAATAATAAACAAACCTGCCTGTTGTAAGTGCATAATAAGCTTTATATAAAGAGAAAACCTAAAATCTCTTGCCTAAGAACAGTTTGGTGAACTAATTTCTAATCTAAGCATTTTAGACAGGAGGATCTACTTCATAAGAATGTTCGCCACATGCTTTGAGAGATGTATTTATACTTTAAATCTGTTTATTACAAGCAGCATTTGTTTCTGGGGCCGTAGCAAAGATGAGAAACTTTTTGATAGCAAACAAAATGCTAGATCAATACTGCTGTTTTCCAAAAAAAATTTAAGTTTTAATATCAATTTAATTTTTAAATAATATGTAAGTGAAATTTAATGATATTAATCTCGTGAAAATGGAAGTGTTAATGATTATTACTTTTCATGAAATCTGCCCATCAGGATTTTACATTTGATGTGGTTGTGAGTGATATGTTCATATGTGATTGATATGTTTATAAAACTTGTCATGTTTTCAATCTTCCAGTAGTGATTTTATGACCCAAAATTTTGTGTGCTATCAAAACAATAATATTTTCTGGACTTGTGTTCAAGTTTCTTGTTAGCTCTTTATGAAGTACTTAGAGTTGTAATGTGGCATTTACTAGTTTTAATTATTTATTTTAGGTATATTGAAAAATGCTCCTCAAAGCATTCCAGAAAATTCTAAGAGCTCCAAGATTGTAATAGTAGAGAATGGCAGTGAATTGAAGCAAAACAGCAGCAATGCTCTTGAACAATTAGCAGCAGAGAGTAGTGAATCAGAAGATGAAATAGAAGATCCAAGTCAATTAGAAGAAAGTGAAAAAACACCTGGGAAAACTGAAAAGTCTGAGGACAAAAGGATAGTCTCACAAGATGAAGTTCTGCCTGAAGGATTCTTTGATGATCCTTTGCTTGATGCTAAGGTAAGATTCAAGATTTCTTTTGAATATTAAATTTTATCATTTATTTTGCTGGTAATACGGGCAAATGTTCTTCATAATTCATTTTATGTTGGTATGGTTATTGACAATTGTAATTGAATGCTAGGTGCTTTTTGCTCATTAACATGCGAACATTGTCATTTATATCAGAGTATGGATTTAGTTGTAAATTTTGTAACTATTTTTTAGTTTCTATAACATTTGATAATAATACTTACAAAGAAATCCACGTATTTGAGTTAATTGATTGCAACATGGAAAACTTGCCTGATGTTTTTTGACTTTGTAATTCTTAGATTGAAAGATTAAAGATCTTTGTAATCATCATTGTGAATTCATTGTAAATAAATCATCTGGTACTACCTTAATTTCTCTTATTATCTTCTCCATCACTTGTTTTCTTGTTCTGAGTCTGTTTTCCATCTTCTTTGGTAATTATTTTTAACTGGAGAGTGAATTGTGCTGTACTATTGACATAATTGGAAGATAATGTGTCAAATAGAGAATCTTAAGAATCGTGTTTTCATTGTGTTCTCTTTCTTGTATCTGGGAATGTTTTCCTGACTTCTGAGAAATTTCGAAAACCACTAGATAGGGATTGTTGGGGCAACTGTTTAATTCAAAAAGCTCTAATATTAATAATGTTTAAATAACTTTCTCTTTATGTTCAGTTTTTGAAATGCTTTTAAATGATATATTAATTAATTTAATTGTCATAAAATGTTATGAATGCTTTACAACTGAACTACAATTTATAATTCAACTTGTAGATATTATTTTTGGTATCCGAAACATTTGTTTGAAATAGAGAATTACTTTTAGAACTTATTAAAAATAAATGCACCAGTAAAAGTTGCATCTTTGGGTTGCAATTTCTTTAGGCAAGAAATGTTGAGTACAAAGATCCTATTGAAGAAGAATGGGAAAAATTTCAAAAAGAAATTAAAGAAGAAACTTCGGTGTCTGCTCAAATAATTTCTGAGGATCAAGAGGAGGCTACTGCAGAAAGACAAATTGATGAAATTGATGAACAAATGAGAAACTGGACAAGGTGAGTAGGTATTTATTACTTCATTGATTTTCACTTGCAGACTGTTGTATTATGACTTACTTAATTCTGGAAAAATAATAAAAGTGGTTTTAATGTATTAAATATAACAATAACTATAACTAATCAGTAATTAACCAGAACAGCATTTGAATAAGTTTGTGGAAATGTAGTAAAATTAAATAAAATTGTTAACAAGTAATGATCTTCATTAATTACACATTTACTCATGTATATATGATTAAAATGATGATTATGTAGCTAAAACAGGAAATAGGTATCTTGTTTTGGAGATTACTCTCATTAATGGAGATGAGCTTTTGTAAATATAAATTTTATAAACTTATGATTTTGTGATGATTATTGTGTTCGTGTAGTTCAGTGGAGATTTAAATTTCATGAAATATTTAGTCTATCAATTCGTTGAAATGAATTGAATTTTGCCAGAAGAAAACAGAAAATTATTTTTAAAAAATAACAAAATCTGTATTACCAATGCTTAAGATGATGATCTATGTGACCAGGAAAGCAAAAAATCCATTTTTCATTTGCTTCAAAAGTAAGCAAAATTGTTTGATATGACAATTTTCCATGAGAAAATAAAGGAAGGAAAAAAAGTTTCTTGAATGTCCAAAGAAGTCACTTTGATAACTTTTTCAGATTAAAAATTGATAGCAAAACTATAACCATATAAGGTATACCGCCAGGCCATTAAAAACTTAATTGGTGTACGTGTGACTTTTTTAAAACAATTTTTTTCCTTCTACAAAAATGTATAATTGGTAACTAGTTCTGTTAACAGAAAGATCATACATTTTTTCAATAATTTCAAAGATAGAATGTTTGGTTGCAGCAGAAAATCAATTTTTTGCAGGCATTTGTCTGTGTACGAAGATATTGAGATTTACATTAATTTGAGGACGAGAATAAGAGTAACTGAGAGGGGTGTTCTTGAAATTATGAAAGAAATACTGCCAAAAGGTCAATTTGTTAAAATGAAATTTTTAGATGTTATATGAGAGATTGCATGCTAAAACTTTTCCTCAGCTTACTTTTGTGAAATGCTAATTTTGGTTATTTAATGTTTTAGAAGAATTGTAATGATTTAGATATTGTTTGAAAGGTTTCATGAATGTCAGTAATAAAATAGGATATTCATGAATTGTTAGACCAGTGCCACACAGAACATGAATGGTGTGACCCTTTATTGTCTCAGACTGATTCCACTGTTCCCACTATTGAATGTTAGCCACAAAGAAGAATTTTGTGGTTTTTGAAATTTTTTACTTAAAATGTATAATTATTTATTGCACCTGAGTAAATGTGCTTGATGATTGTTGGATCAGGAAGTAGTGATAGTAAGTGCCAACATGATTGCTTATCCCACTGTCCCAACTACCATAGGTGAGATACAACTAAAGAATTTTAGTTTTTGGCTTTCTGTTAAAACTTAGTTCTGAATTCTCCCCCAATTGCCCCATTATGTCTCCTGGACCAGATTTATTTATTTTGGATTACGGGTCTGGCATGATACATTGTACCATCTCCCATACTTATGGCAATTTGTATGATTTTCCATGTTTGTAGCAAAAGTGTGTGTATTGCTCCAGTCTTAAAGATATGAACTTTGAAATGATACAAACAGATCTTTCACCAGACATGTGTGCCAAATTAGAACTCAAAAGCTTCTGTTGCAAGAGATGGGAAAAATATTAGTTTTATATCAATTACTATATAATTATTTATTATTATTATTATTATTATTATTATTATTATAATTAATATTGTATAATTTTTTGTTACCATTCGCATTAGATAAAAACTATGTTATGTTGTTGAATCACAAGTTTCCTTCTGTGATTTGCTGTATTACTTGTATCTTCCATCATTTTCTGATGATACATCCTCTATTCAAAGAATACATGGTTCAACAGACATGATGTAGTTGATGTTTAGTATTACAGAGTATATCAGAACAGATGGTTACATCTTTGCTCTAGGTAGGGTTTCAAGTATATATAGTAAATATTTATATACATATCACAATTATATCTTAATTGTGTGGTGTTATATCCTGTTATATTCATGCAATTGTATTATTTTTAATTCCTATCGTCTTTCGTGTCTTTCTAACGTTTTCATTGTTGTAATTAGTATTTGGTTGATTGGCAAGGTTGGCTACAGCCATTTAAAAATATTTAATTTTTTGTCTACGATATTCTTTAATAAAGATAATTTTTATTGCTTAATCATTAATGCCATAATGAGAAGATGTTTAGTATACTGCAGGAATTTTCTATTATGGTAAAAATTGAAATGTGTTTCCTTCAACTTGAGTGAAATTACTGCATATTCCCCTTAAAATTCGTTATTTTTTTGTCAAGTCACATTTTGCCAGACTAACACTGAGCTTGAGGGTCCCAGGGCATGTATAGACTACCTTTCCCCTCTCTTCAAAAAACAACACTACAACAAAAATATAAATAAATAAAAACAAAAATAAACATACAATTGGAGTTTGAGGTGCTGTGAGATGTGGTTAGAGGAATGAATGGTTTCAACATTTAATATGGTTTTTGTTGTCTAAATCATTTGCAGAGAATTTCAATGTGATGTAGATCATCCATGCTGTTCAATAATTACATAATTCTTAAATGAGGGTTGAGGAGTTTTTGACAATTTCAGTATCATAAAACAAATACACAAGAAGAGAATTAAGCTTTATTTATATTGATTACAGGGTAATTCATTTGGAGAAGAAGAAGGAAGAAGTTGTTCAAGTAGTGAGTGGTCGGAATGCTGGTGGTGATGATGAACAACTTTCGAGTGCAGATGAGGCAGAGTTTGAAGAATACTTGGACTGGCGATCAAAAAAGTCTTACAAGTGACCACTACTTCTTTTTTGGTGTGTTCAATTGTAATACTTCATTTTCCAATGAACTTCAATACATTGTTTCTATTTAAATACATTTTTCTTTCTGTTTAATACCTACAATACCTCATTATTCTGCCTTTAAGCATGTGCGTTGAAAATGGGAATGAACTTGTATTAGAATTTTTATGATTGGTGATTTGTTTCTGACTAGTTTTGTCAGGGTAGGGAGTTCTTCCAGTTAATCCTGTATCAGTTTTATTTATTGTCTTTTTGGTGTGAATTTAATTTGAAATTTAAATGCAAGGTAATTCCTTGTAGTATGTGAATAATGTTTCTGATTTTAATGTTCTTTACGTGAGAAGTATACTCAAGAAATAAAAATATAGTTAGGTAGTATAGATTTCAAATTATTTTCTGATACTTCTCTCATGTTTTGAATTTTATCTTCTCAATACTTCAAACTGTCAAATTGAATCAAACTCTCTTGTATAGTAAAGTAATTCATTGTACATGAATAGAAATTCTTTAATGTTTACTACATTAGAAATTATGTATGTTTTTGCAAAAAGTATTATTAAAATGGTTAACAAAATATTTGCCTTGAATATTTAATAACATTGCATGAGATTTGGCTAAAGGGCTGGAGTTAATCATTACTAAACTCAAGAACGAAAATTAAGGATTACTGCTTCTCTGATGTCATTGCTCTTGTTTCAGTTACTGTCATCATTTTTTATTCTATGGTGAAGAGAACCAGTCGAATAATTTAAATTATGTCAATATCAGAAGGGTATGTTGGTATACATGATGTTTGTTGAAGAAAAAAACAATTGTCAGAGAGAATTTTTATTAAAAGTAATGTGATACAATGTACATATTGTACAAATAATTATAGTAATAATTGTGTATTTTTGAAGTATAATAAATACTACAATGTTTTGTTTTCATAAAAGACGATGTGTCCTTTGGGTGTGCCTATTACAAGAATAGTACTTCAAATTGTGCAGTTCAGTCATTTCCCTCTTGAAACATCAAGAAGCAAATGTTCTCCTCCGGCACCTACTCTACTCTAGGCAAGAAGTAGAAAAAGACACCTGCTTGTGAAAATTTATCTTATATGGTAAGTATTAATCAGTATTCAAGCAGGCTTAGTAGAAAAACAAGCTCGCTAAACAGTTCTTCGCTGTCATCAGCGGAAATGCTAGCCCTAAACTTAGATATCTCTTTTTGCTACAACACAGTTAAATGTTATTTTATCTTCTTTAAGAAAAAAAGTGCTATGATAAAAATCTCTTTCACAATGTCTGGAACTTGAATCTCTTCCCCGAAGATTCAAGTTCAACATTAGTTTGCATTAAGTGCATTTACAGTAGAGCAAATTTTCATGTATAGAAATGTACAGAAAGCATATTTTGGACTACATGGATATTTTACTCTCTATTATATATATAATATGTATATAATATATATAGGTATATAAACAATATCACTTCTAAATATGTGTATAGTAAAAGACAATTGCTTTTCAAGCTACATACAGGTGATTTGGCTTGAAGTACAGTTTTCTAATAGTAATAGAGTTCTATATTAGTTCATAATTTCCTTGAGCAGTAATGAGAGTATTGAAGTGTGATAGGACTTCATATGAATTTACTCTTGAAGTCTTGAATTTTTCTGTCATGTTAGTACATAAATAGTTCATATTAACAATGAAAACATACTAAAATGATTCACATAGTTGCTGTATGTGCAAAAAGTAGTAATATTAAATGGCTTATTTTATATCTTGACATACATGCCAATCAGAAAACCTTCCCCTAATTTTCTGACAGCATGCTGTCAAGTAATTCAAAGTAAATGCTAACTCAAAGTAAGTCATAGTAGTGGAAAGGAACTAGCTTTCAAAGGAGTGAAAGTTTATTTTCTCCGATGAGTTGAGTATTTACAAGTCTGTTGAAGGCATTTTAAATTTGGCTTCTTATTGGTTGGAAAAGATACAAGAACATGCTTTAAGATCTACTCAGTTTATCACTCGCATTCCATCTTGGATACATATCTTGAAATTCTACTTATATTTAATCATTTGTAAAAGAATTCTAAGACTAACTTAATTATATCAGAAATATATGCAAGTATCTAAATCTATGTGGTAAAGTGCATTTATATAATTGGTCTACTTTGTATATATAAATATTTGCATTGTTGCATTAAGATCTTTTTTAATTTTTTTCGGTACTTAGATTATAATAAAATAGGCACAAAAGTACAGATTGTGTTTTTATAGGTAGCATAGATTTTATCTATGTTGCTTATATAAGAAAAGAATAGAAAACACATTCGATAACTTGTGAAGTAATTGACATTGTTAAGCATAACATAATTTCTGAACTACATGAGAAAGACCTAACTTTTGACAATTTATCCTGGTACAATGTTAGCTTTTGGATTGGTTAAGGAAAACAATGTTATCTTAGTAAGCAATATACAAGTAGGCCTCTACTGCTTTTGTTAGTTTAAATAACTGTATAATTCTTATTTGTTTCTTAAAAATAGCTGTGGGAAACAGTCTTCCCATGTTAATATATCTCTATACGTATCTATTTATATGTATATGTACGCACTGATTTTCTACATATGAAAAACTCATATGTATATTTTCAATCATAGCTTTCAAAATTTAATACCTGTTGGCATCAAACACTCTCATTTTTCATCTAGGAAGTGTTTAAATTCTCCTGTGTGACAAAATTTTTGGTACTAATTTTGTCAAATGAGTTCACAGAGCTCTACCAAAAATTGCTAGATGAGTTTCATTATATTTCATTTTGTTATCAGGTGGAATTCCGAATCTAATGGTGAAAGTATAATTTGTCTTCTGAATGAATGTTTTGTATTTGGGACACAACTGACACTGACAAGGTTGATGCTGGTCCCTCATAGGAGTCACTCAGTAAATTTAAATCACCCACGTACAGTTGTGCATACATGCATAATTTATCACTTGTTCACACTATAAGAAAAAATAGAATTTATCTTGAATAAGTTTGAATTAATCCAAAAACATACACATGATCGTTTATGTATTTGGTTTCACATATAATAGTGTACTATAATTTACATACATATATATTTTTTAATATAGGCAGTAGTTTTGAATTTAAGCCAGTGAGGCATTGATTACACTTACAATGTAGCCAAGATTTGATCTTTCATAAAGTAAGAGTGTTGTATAGTGTGAACAGCACAAAACTTTGGTACAATTTATGTAAAATTCTTGAGGATGGATCAATAACGGTAAAAATTCTCAAAATTACTTTGAAGAGTTATAGTTTATCAGCACATGACCTCTATTACTGGCTGGGTTTGGCACTGGCAATGTTCTGTTTATGCTTTCGGGTCCTGCACTTCAACTGTTACGTTTTCAAGCACTGGTGCTGCAGTGTTGTTGGCTTCAGGCCGAGTGGGCGACTTGGGTGATTTTGTTGATGTGCCTGATGCGTTGCTGCTGGCACGGCTGCCCCTCCTCGAGCCAGCTCGGGATCCTTATTTAAGGGAAACTGATTATCACATGATTGGTTCTTCTCATTGTAATATGATGGAATGTGGCAACGTGACCTGATGGAGTTTACTTTGAAATGGTGATGGTTTTAAGAGAGGAGGGTTTGTCCATTGCCTGCTTTTTAGATTGCCCTGCTTTAAAAAAAACAAAAAACAAACAAAAAGCAACAAAATAATAATTTCTCAATAAAAAATAAAAAAAAATATATGAAATAGAAAACTTAGTGAAAAATGAGAAAGCAATTCACAAAAATTAAACAAGCAAACAATCAATAGTAAACTTGTAATAAACAAAAAATTTTTAAATGAAACTATAACAATTATTGTGTTATGAATAAGGAAAATTCTAAATGTTAATTGTGGTCTATCAGCAGCACATAATAATGCACATTTCTTGCATTATTTGTATGTTTAGTAATATAATATTACTTTAACATACGTTTTTGTAAATAAAAAAAATAAAAATCGCATCAGTATAAGATTTATAACATTTACTAAACTTCAAAGTCATCATCAAAATACTGTAAAAGAAAAAATTTTGAGTTGGTTTTGAAAACTGCCATGATTTCACACAAAAGTTCATTTAAGCTACCAATATTTTGAAAAAAATTATACATGAAGATGAAATTTAGAAGAATAGATTTCTTTGATAAGAGAGATTTATCTTCTATTTTGTAGTTGTAGGAAGTCAATCAATTATCTTTTTGAAGTATTTTTTAAAAAGGATAATGACCACTTGTTCCATATATTTCAACACAATGTTTATGTAGATGGGCTGGAACATTAGTGATCTCCGATTCCTGTGACACATTTCTCCCCTACCCAAACAAAAGGGAAACAAGTTTTAAAAATGATGTTGAAAATGCATTGAAATAACCAATCAAAAATACTTCATTATTAAAAAAAGGTGTGTTTAAGTTAAACAAAATTTGTAAGATGTCTGTTTTTTATTGTCGATTTTATTAAACACACTTAAATTTGGAAATCCAACTGGATTCTAGTTCTATTCTTAGCTTCATGGTTGCGTACACAGCTTGTTGCGATGTTTTAAAATATTGTTTTATAAAATCTATCTCATTTAGAATTATTAGTAGTAATATTTTTCATTCCAAAATTAGAATATCATTTTATAATCAGGTCACATTGTTACCATCAAATTGCAGTGTTGCGTACACATGCTTGCAGACACAATTTAGAATTAAATCTAACCCTACTTCTACTTAGCTACCTACTTACATATAAACACTAGAATGTGAAAACACTAACACTAACATAAATTACACCTGGGATGTGGGAAAAAAATCAGTGAAATCACAACACAATAAGCTAAGACACATAACTACTATCTAAATGTTAAAAGTAATAGTGATTTTATCAGTGAAATATTTTCACTAAGAGTCAAAGCTGCTGTTATGTCAGTCAGAAAATGCTAATATAAATGATTATGAGAATTAGTGATAAGGAAATATGTGGAATTTGGTGCTATTTAAAGAATTGAGACTTCCGTACGTCACCATCGGGTGCTGTTACTATTTTTTGCGGATGTTCTTGTTGCCAAATTTGTTCACTAAGTTCATCTTTTATACTGAAAAAGATGTTTAGTTTATTTAAAATGAATCATGACCATTATGCAATACAGCGAGAAAGTAAGTAGTAGCATGATAATTGGATGTACTATACTATCACTAAATGCTACTGATGTCTAGAATGGAAAGAGAACTAAAGGACTATTTCTCCAAAAGGAGAATCAGTGATCTGTTTCTCTCAAGTTCTGTCTGAGATTCGTTGCCTTGTGGGTTGTCTGGTTTACCTAAAGACTGTGAGGGTGACTGTGGTCGAAGGGAGGCCATGCTGGGTTGACGACTGGGAGCTCGTACACTGGCACGACTACCTCGTCTTTCACCGCCGCTGTGGAGCAGCTTGCTGTCTCGGAGTAATGACACGTTCATCAGTCGAGGGTTTGGAGTGTTGAATATTGTGCGATTTTCACGCCATCTTGCCCTGTAAGAAATAAAAAATGACAATGAATTATGCTAAATGCCACTTTTTTTTGTTGATATTCTCACCATTTTGAAATGAACATGAATTGATTTTATCGTTCATGAAAAATTGTGTTATTGAAAAAGTGCAAAAGATATGATTTTGTCAGAAATTTTTAAATCTATTTTGAATTTGAATCCATGCAATTTAATTTTGAGGAGACATCCAGCATGTTCTGAAGAAGATTTAAGTAAATCATTTTGTTTACAAGATTTTTTAAACGTTTCTAAAACAGGCACGGATCCACGGGGAGGAAACTGGATGTTTCCACCCTAAAATTGTTCAGTAACTGTTAATATTAACTTGTCACGAAACTTTGAAGCAAAAATATTTTCGGATTGTCATTAAAACGAATAAAATCATATCACAGCAAGAGCTGAGAGTAGCCTGCGACATTTTACAAAATCTGTAATATGACATTCGACGAAAACATTTTGAATTTCCCCTCCCTTTGAAATTCGTCTCTGGATCCGCCCCTGTTAAAATATGATTTATTTTTGTAAAACTTGTGAGTTATAAATGTGATAGTATAGACCAACATCGGCGGAGGACGAAGAGCGGAGTGAACAAGATTGTTCTAGATCAGAGTTGCTCAAGAGGACGGTTCATTTAGTATGCCCTGGCCCATTGCTGATATGCGGGCCACCGGTATGGCCTGCTGCTTGTTGAGCCAGCCGAAAGATTGGGAAGAGGAGACGATCGGTTGATTGATTCTTTACTGTTTCCAGGCGCGTCAACTGCTACGGTCATTCATCCATTATTGTAGTGCACGTTTTATGATGGGAGATGGCGGTGTTGGTCTACCGCTGGATGACGAGATCTTGCACCACCCTGGACGTCGGTTTACGGGATTCTTCGTCTAGGTATGTCACCTGCGTGCCCCGCCCCAGCTCGGAAATCTGCAATCTTCCGGTATGAGTCGTAGTGTAGTACATGTGTGTGAAAGCAAGGGATGAGGATAAGGCAAGGAAGAAGGAGAAAAGGTCGTGTGCGGTCCCTGGTCATTTTGTGATCCGGCATTCCCCGAGTGTTGGTAGGAGAAATTACGGAAAAATACCGATCAGAGCAGCCGGTCAATAGAATTCTCCTCCAGGCGGCGGTTGAACTCGACCTAACTCTCTGGCTAACCTCCGTAAAGTTGGCCGAAAAATAACCCTGGGATTCCCGATCAGATTTACTGCAGTGACATCAGTTGATGCCCTGAGCCACCTCAGGCGATGGAGGCGTTCGTCGATTGTGCTGACCTCTTCTCCCGCATCGAGGGACCCCGCTCTTGACATTTGAGCGGCCCTGGTCCAGATCGGGATCGGGTACGGTGGCGCGCGGCCCGATGTCAATGGTGTTGACCTCTTATCCCGCATCGAGGGACCCCGTGCTCTCCCACGAATTCTCATTGCAGGGGCTGACAAGCTAGTTGTCACATTGCAGCAATAGAGCACCTGGCGCGGACCGCCTCATTTTCACCCCGTGAGGTCCGGTTGTCTACATTCACAAGCCGCTGAAGGACTGCGACACGCACCCGCGGCTCATACATGCGGGTGAGTGACGAAGTATTAATTCCGAGTGCGTCAACTTGGACGTCATTATGCCCGTAAGGATTGTACATGTCATATTTTCGGAGATGGCGGCGTTTCTCCTTTACTGGAACGTGAAATCCGGTGCCGACATACATGTCGGATTGGATTTTTCTCTCCAGATACCTCCCTCAGTGAGGCACCTCTCCAACTAGGACAAGGTGTTCGCTTCATTTGTGGTGCCCCCATAGCCACGCCGTTTACTGGTTCAAACTGGACCAAAACCTGGCCATAATTACAAAGTTTAAAGTGTGTGATCTGAATTTTGAATAATCATATTTGTTCAGAAGGCACTGGAGAACAATACGGACTTTCGTACTTTCAGCATCAGATAGTTCGGCTTCGGGGAAGTGACGATTAGCGTATTGGACTGTTCACAATGCAACCATTAATATAAAAGTTAGGACTACGTCCATAAGCAAACCCATTCTCAATGCGTTCGCATAAGCATAACACGCAAGACGTTAACTTAAAAGCTTGCAAGCTTCTGTGCTTATGCTTAAGTTAGGCATAAGAAATGAACCAATCACAGAACGGTAACTTAAAATCAAGAATTGTAATTTGAGCGAAGTCGATGGAAGAAATAACGCCATATGAGCCATGGGTACAGGCGATACCTTGAAATCGATTCTCACACCCAATCAATAGTAAACCAGAATGTCTCATAGCCAATAGAAACTATTTTTTTACTCTTGCTTACGTTTATGTTAGACATTGTGAATACTTCAGTCTATCACTTATGTTAATGTTTACGTCTACGCGCAATGCTTATGTTTACGTTTGCATTGTGAATGGGCCTTTATACCCAAGTAAGCGGGTTCAAATCCGATCGAAGCCGTGGATTTAAAGCGAAAAATTTCCTTCGTACGCCTCCTTCGGAGAAGTAAATCCGCTGTCCCATGTATATTTACTGCATTTAAAAGGTCCTCGAGCCTAAAAGAAACCTCTTAGGAAAATTCAAATCGCCTGTTTCGTCACCCAAGTGATACCTTCTTTCGCCGCTACTTGTGGATTTTTTTTTTTGTATTTCCGAATAGAAGACATTTTTGACGACAGAAAAAGTGACCAGTATATTTCATATTTGTTACGGCTGAATTCTAACCTACGGAGAGTGACAATGTTTGTCACAAATATTGTACATTATATTGTTTGTCTTGCGTATTCCTGCCTCAAACATTTTTTTTATTTATCAAGTAGAATGTTCTTTATCATTGATAATACCACGAGTGCTTTGGAAATTGTCGATAAATTCCCGACTCACGAAGGGAGGAACCGTCGGTATCCAACAGTTCCAAAATGCCCCCATTATTGAAAATAACTGAAATGTATGTTAAAATCAAAGATACGTTATTTATTGGACATCGATATAGCGATCGATGTAAACTGCCTCCTAAAGTAGATGAGTCACTGTTTGTGATTGGCCAGTAGAGAGTAGCGGTAAGAAAAATCGATAAACTTTTTGAGATACACCGCCTTGATTGGGTCATTTTGTATGAATCTTAAACACAAGTGGTGTTATTTTCGCGAGTGGCGAGTTCGCGAATTATAACACTCGTTAAGCAGCACATATTTGCACATTTTATCGCCACTTTACTGCAATGCCACAAAGCAAAATTTAAGTCTAGTTCTCCCGGATGTGTTTCGACGCCACTGGAAATTAATTTCTCGGTATATGTTTTTTGATTTCTCCCTCTGATAAGTTATTTTTAATGGAAAAAGTACTGAAATAAATTTTCAGAATAATTATAAGATATTAAACCGTGACACTGAGTATGGGTTCTTAGTTTAGCCTAAGGAGTCGTATTTTCTTGTCGTAAAAATTAAGACTAGATTCGACGGGTGTGGATGTAAATCCAATGAGGGTATTTCGTATTACAGTATATATTTTTTTCAATCACATTGCATTTTTTTAATAAATAAGAGCCGACGAAGTTGAGACATTTCAGCATTTATTCCCGACAGATGGGTGATTATTGTTTGAGATTCGATATATACAAGTAGGCGTATAAGCTATTGGTGGGCCTGCGAGCGGCGCGGTTCAGCAGCCTTACAAAAGAGGTTCGAATCGAAATGCCGAACCCCCTCCACATCGCGGATAAGGTGGCTCCACACATTCGGAATTCGCCGAGCAGCGATCTACTGTTGAACTAATCCCGAGCGGCTGATCTGTTCGGCGAATGTTCGCTTCCTTTGATATGTCCAAAATACCGACACCCGATGGGGAGAGCGAACACTGAATGTTCGCCGCTCGACACACAGCAAGCAACTCATCCACAGTACTTCGGGATTCGGCGAGCGGTCGCTCACTTCTCGTCGAATACCGAATGTGTGGAGTCTGCTTTCAGCGCGTGCAGCTGACGCTGTTCACTAGGGACCGCGCTTCTCTAATGTCGATATCTTCCTCTCAATCACGGTTCATATGCGTCTTGTGGTCTGGGCGTGTTTAGGGATCATACTATTGGGAGATGGGCAACGATAAATCTGCTTTTATCGTGGTTCTTATAACCTAACGACACTCACAAACTGAATCGTGCGCGACCTGTGTGTAATGGTCAAACTGCTCGCCTTCCCGGGCTACCCATGTGGAATTTGTGGTAGACAAAGCGGGTTCACGGCTGGTTTTCTCAAGGTTTACCCGTTTCCGCCGCCTTCATTCGACCATTGCTCCATCATCGACCACATCACGATAGCTGTCACCAATCCATCAAAATAATTCGTCCATTATGGCTATAAGGTTAGCAACTGACGTCATAACAAAGATAGGCTGGCTGAAGAAGCATTTGTCAGGCGGTAAATTAAAATAATGAAAATAATGACCTTTCTCTGCCTCTTGAGCCACCATTCTAGAAGCATAATGAACACAAACGGAATCTTCTCAAGCATTGGATTCTTTTTCTTTCAAAATACCACCCTTTAGATTTGGATTGAATTATATTCTTTGCAAACTGCTAGACAAGTGAAAAATGAATTTAAGCGCAAGAAAGGCGTCTACATGAAATATAAAGAGAGACATTTGAAGGATCACTGTACATTCTGTTTTTATATGAATGAAAATAATATTTTTAGATATCAGATATTGACGATTACAAATAGTATTTCATATATGAATCACAACACGTAGGTATTATTATAAAACGAACAATTAAGTACTTACTTGCTGAAAAGTCGTAACACCACACACAAAATGATGAACATTAATGCCATGCCCACCAATACTCCAATCATCGCTGGATCAATATGAGTTACTTGTTTAGGTGTTTCTGGTACACCTGTAATCCGCATAATTCCTTAGTTTGTGTTTTATAAAAAAAATACAATAAAAGAAAATAAATGCAATTGACATTGTTCATAACATATGTGGTAGTTTAAATATTATTAGACATTTGAACTACCATAACTACTTTCGGAAATATTTATTTTGTATACTAATTTTTTATTATTAACTTTTCAAGTGTGACATCAGAATGTGAATAAGGAGTTTTTCACGATGTTTTTATTTTTGAGCACGGATAAAAATTGCGAAGATGGATCGCATTATGATGAGTACGGTAATATTTTTGTAATTTATACACATGGCAAGTTTTTTGTTATTTATTTCTTCTTATTTCTAAATAAATAGATGAATAAATAAGAAAGAAAGAAAGGAATAAAGAAAGAAAGAAAGAAAGAAAGAAAAAGAAAGAACACTTATTTTCTCGCCCGTATTTTCAAGCAAAATTGCGCCAAAAGTATGCAAATCACGCAAAATCACGCGAAAACCACGATGCATGATGCGTATGTTAGCCGTAAATGCAACTATTAGTTTATATTAAAGTGAAAGAAAAGGCAGCTGTCATATGGCCTTCTGTTTTCAGCGCGGCTTTACAACAATGGGTTACAAGCAACATTGACCGCTAATTCGTATGGAATACATATTTTGCCAAATAGCATTGTCGATACCGATAGCAAGAAAATGAAAATAGAAAAATATAACAATTAAATATATTATTATTTACATCAAAATTACTCGGTTTTTACATGCATTATTTTTTATTCCATCTTATTTCGAAGCGAAATCATATATTCTTATTCACTTAAACTCAATTAATGGTCGCAATTTAAAATAGGTATTAAATAAGTTTTAAGAGATTAATTTTAAGACTTATAACAAAAGCTCGAAGAAGAAACGAACACAGAGAAATGAAATAATATACAATTTCTAACTTACATGGCATCCAACTGCTTAGTATGACTATTCTTTTAGGAAAGTTCAGGAAGCGCAGTAAATTGGGAGCAGTAGATTATTTTTTGTCGCCGAATTACTAAAAAAATTACTCATATTTTCGTAAAATTCATTATGATCATATTTGAAGATTTTTTGATGAACACATCTTATTAAGAAAAAAATGTATCTTCATAATTGTAGTTGTAGGAAGACCCCGAAAAAATTTGGATTTTTTTAATTTTCGAAAAATCAGGGTTTTTAACCAAGAGAGGCCTACACCAATCTCATAAACGTTACTCAGACTATCCACCAACAAAAGTTTATGAAATACGATGGAGCCGTTTTTGAGAAAAAATAATTAAACAAAAATTAAAAATTGTCTGAAGTTCACGCAAACTTTCACGCAAAATATTGAAATTTTCGAAAAATTGTTTATGGAGTTATTTCTAAATCTGTCTTTAAAGAACAAATTATATTATGGGAAACATCTTTACCTTTAAAATTTGTGTTGTAGGAAGAAACCGAAGAATTTTTTAAATATTTTCAGTTTTTGAAAAAAATTGAATTTTCAATCATGCGACCTGCGCCATTCTCTTAAACGTCTTTCAGACTATCCACCAACAAAATTTAATCAAAATTGAAGGCGCCGTTTTTTAAAACGTTTGACAACGTCTCAGGGGCTTCATGTAAAGTACCCCCCAGAATTAAAATACCGGCTTCAATTTCAAGGGGACACATCAGCCAGATCGATCAGAGATCGATTTTGAGGAAACCGGCCGAACGGTTTTGCTGCTAGCGTAGCTCAGAGACTGACGGACGTTTTGCCGTCAGTCGATTTTTCGGTTTCAAGGACCTACAAAATAGTGTTTCTGGTTACACTATGTGTTCGAGGATTTTTTAAAATTTAGCGACTGTGTTTATCTACTTTTTCGTTACCAGAGCCTTGTAAGAAGACTTTTTCTGCAGAAAATTTGCGTTTTTTTCGCACGGCATTACATAACTTTCTCTTTCTAAGAAGTTTCTTCTTATGAGCGAGAAAGTAAAAATAACACTTTTTTAGTATCAGGGACAAAAAACCGTGCTTTTTGTCAAAAATTCTTAGATCTGATCATAAAACTCCTAAATGTAATCCCTTAAATCATTTGGTGATGTTCATTTGAGATTCGTCGCTAATATTTAACTGCGCTGTTGCCTACAATGCTAATGTTAATATCAGTAATTGCCACATGTTTGCTATTCTTCCGCCTAGCATCTCACAAGGCTGAAAGATGTTCTATCATGTTATCATTAGTTGACACATTGTCCAAATTCTGAAATTGCCGAAAGAGACGGGCAGACGTCAGCCAGTTAACGTAGATGTTTGTTGAGCACGTATCTTCTAGACGATTGAATTGTTAAAACTATAGTTGATGGTCCGGTTACCATAACTTATCATAGCGTCACCCTCACTTACCATAACCACGCCACCATAACTTACGTATGTCGGGAAATAAATATAAAACATACTTCTCATATTGTTATTACGATTTCCGCTTCTAGAAAGATACCACATGTCACGTGTTATCCAGATTGCTATCGACATTATTCTTAATATTTCTTGATAAAACTTAAATGCAAGAATACTGAGTGTACATTAATATCTAAAATAAATGCAATAATATTCGTGTTTGTCTCTTTTCGTTCTAGGAGGTACTTACTAGCATTATTGAAAGTTGTTCTAACACGTTTTACACGATCTACTGTGAATTTGAGACAAATTTGTTCACACAAGTTAAGGTTTATGCAAGTAATGTATTAAATAAACCCTACTATTGTCAACCGGGAAGAATAAACTCTCATACTGGAGCAATCTAGAAAAATCAAATAAAAAAAAAACAATAACAAGATTCACATAGAGATAAACTATTGTTCCATTAAAAGTATTTTTTAATGTATTATCAATTTAAATACACTTTGTGCCCCTGTAAGTATTTTCCAGTTAATAAAAATTCCTTTTCGTTCTTCGATTCATTTTGCATCTTCACTGATAACTGAATGAAAATTACTGTATTTGTCGAGAGAGGTGTGGACGTCAAACAGAATTGATTCATTACATGATTGTGAACTCAGTCTGAATGAAATTTTTATTTTAAGAAGGGGTACTTTAATATAATACGCCTTAGTTCTACTACTGAAAAAAATGCAGCTTTCACTTCAATTACTTACTTCCACAACTCCATGCTCCATTTGTTTGCTGGGGGGTCATTCCAAAACGACATGCACAAAGTCCTCCTCTGCATTCTGTCTTCAGGACAGCCATATCACACTGCTCATTAAACGTGCATGACTGGTTGATGACTCGTGCTGCACAATCAAATAATACACGCGTAAGTTTTTGTTGAAAATATAATTTTTACTTAATTTGAAATAACAGTTTTTTATTTTATACTTAATAATGACATTATATTTTTCTGCTTCTTGTTATTGGAAATAATTGTATTAGTAAATTAGAGTCTTGTGCTATTGAGCAATATGTAGGAACTTGTTTTTTCCTCATTTAAAGAGCTACTGGAATCACTCCAACGAATGATCACAAATATCGGTAGTAAAATTCACATTATTTAAGGTTATTTTCAGATTAACTTCGCTCAAATGTAAAGATTAACATCTATTAATGCTATGTCAAAGCTGATTAAGATTGGTGCTGGTGGTGAGGAGATACAAACAATTTTGCACTCGAAAATCGAGGTTGGATGGATGGATGTGTTAGTAATACTTAGGGAGCGGATTTGAAATGTATTTGTTTCTCTCTTTAGAACAATGCATTTTAGTAAAGGCTCTAGTAAAGGTTACTCGTATGTGTCTAATGAAGTATTCTTATATGACATTCTTTTGAATTTTTTGGAGATTTCGACTAATAAGTATTTTTTTTAGATTTTCCGTCATTTTAAAGCAGTTTTCGCCGATTTCATTGATTTTAGTATCATTTTAATGATTCTTACTTCAAATAATTTAACGGACAACAAGTTGTGTTGTTCATCTACATTGGTTTTGATCAATTTTTTACGTAATTTTCGTTGGTTGTAGGACTTAAAAAAATTTTAAGATCATTTTATTGATCATTTTTGGCAATCTTAATCTATTAGGCTATCTTAATCTCACTCCTAGTCATAACTTTGTTAAATTGTGGCTTTTGAACTGAAACTTGGTAAATATGTCAGGAGTATTATCTGGTAGTTATTTACTTTTATCTCTACGGTCTTTTCAATTTTGTCAGACTGTATTTGGCCATTTAGAGGAGGTTTATAATGCGATTAAGGTACGTCATTCTTTTTAGGTTCGTTCTTCTGGGTTGCGGAGAGAAACCGTTCATTTCCGAACGTAATGGTTTTTAAATTTATAATTACGCTCCTTCTACATTCTGTCTGACTAAATTGCCCATTTTCGTTTATTTAGAAAAACTATGGCAGACGTGACAACTGTTCGTGACAGATTGTTGTGCTATAAGAAGAATACGAATCACACCTACGAATTATAACTGCTTACGTTGATGTACCTTGGCTTTTTTCTGTGTGGACGTGCAAGCCCTAGTACGTGGCAGCGGTGTCTCTTTTTTAAAGAGTTTACGTTCATGTTCATCGATGTGGATGGTTCCATCGAATAACATGCTTTTCCATTTACTTTAAGATTATGTTAAAATATCTTTATGAATGAGCCTTTTCTGTTGTCACGTTTTGCCCACCTCATAGACGTTCCTTTCATTTCAATAAAGACGGTATGGCGTGACAAAAATGAAAAAAAAATTTAGTCAATAATGTGATAGTCAGTCTGCCGAGACTTGCTTCAAATGGAAACCACGTGTCTGAAGAACCGCGAACAAAACCTTCACCAAAAATATTACATTTTGTCATGGTAACTTCGGAATATTGCTTATCGCAGTTATTTCTACAAAAAGCTACAGTGCAGCCCCAAGGGAATTCGCAGAGGCAGATGTCCTTCGTCCAGTATGTGGTTCTGGATTTGAAATTGATACGAAGTGAATGTATACATGTCTTAGGAGTTGTATCTCTTGGAAAAGAACTGTTGAGGGAAAAATAAGCATGGATCGCCTGTTTGTTATCATGGACGTGGATTGTTGAGAGGGGAACAGGGTTGAGTTTGCTAGCGAAGGGACACCTGATTGTACCCTTCTTGAATATCCATGTGATATCGTGAATGTAATATATAGAAAAATGAAAATTGTAGCGACATCGAGAAAGATTAAATAAAACCCTAATAGTAGCAAAATTTTTGGAAAAGTGATTCTCCAATGAAAACGGAGAAGGTCGAATTGCCGCTTGATTCCTGATCTATAAATTAATGAACAATACACTTGTTTTGTCTTTAGAACTTGAAGTGTTATTATTAAAACTACATCAAGAGAATGACCAACCGTCAACGGCATTTACTGAATGGCACTACTTCCTGAGGCACAGTTACATTTATCACGTGGCACTCCTTTTTGGGGGGACCAGCATTACGCTGAATCCAATTTTTATCCCCTAGGGTTATTAGTCCTGAGGGTATGGGATATGGAAAGATAATGATAATGACGGATGGACGACACAAACATTCAGACATACACAAACCTAAGCCCGGGACGGGACTGGAACCCGCGATCCTTTTATTATTATTATTATTATTATTATTATTATTATTATTATTATTATTATTATGGCTGAATACGGCGTAGTTAAATGTTCTCCTATTACATGCTGTTCTGTGTAGGCGGATGTATGGAGGGGCACATAACATGTGACCAAATGGAATAACCTTATCAGATACGAAAGCGACTGGGTTGTGCTTATAAAAAGGTGTGTGTGTGTGTAGGGGGGGGCAGGTGAGGTAACTTGCCCGAGGCCGCGACTCAATTGGGACCACGATTTTTTTCCCATCCAAAACATGTAAAAAAATGTATTTACGTCTTATTCAAATTAACCACGATGCGTTCTTTCCGTTGCACGAAGAAATGGAATTCTGTTTTATGCACTTTCGTTAGAAATAAACGGCCTCTGTGGATCTACTGGTGCAGGCCTCTTGTGTTGTCTGCGCGCCGAGTACTCACGGATGTCGCACTTGTCCAGGTTGTTGGTGGCAGGAAAGTCCGGATGGCAGTCGCACACGCGGCGTTGCGCGCCTGCGCACTGGGCATTGTCGTAGCCGCACTGCAGTGTGTCGTTGCATTGGTCGCCCCACTTCTTCTCGCCGCGCTCTGGAAACGGAAATCATCGTTTTATTGGGGTACTCGTGAAGAAAGACGATTTCGGTGCTGCTATCTGCTTAGTCCTGCCTCTGGATATCGAGGGGGGGGGGGAGGTTGAAGCTTTCATTGGCTCTGGATATCAAGAGGTGCAACTGAAGAGGGCTTCGGGCATTGCTCATACGCACCCCTTCCCGCTTCGGGATGATTTGGATTATCACGTCAAAACGCTTTTTACAAAGGTCTCTTCAAATAGGGTGATGCGCTTTCACAGACAGAAACTACGAGCTTTGAGGTTGGACGACTGTGTTGTGACGTCATGAATACTCACAGCCAACTCAGAATCAGAGCTTTCATATAACAAAAATTTATTTACAAAGAAAACACAACAAATATTTACAATTAATTTCCTTATAACTCCCTAGCTTTGATAGACCTACTGTACCCTGATTGCGGGAGCGATCCAAACCCGATTGATGAACGGTTTCGATTGTGGCATTCGCCACTCCTACTTTTGAAGCGCGCACAAAGCCAAGCTTCCGTGACCGGATGTCACACTGGGACACAAAGTCCGTACGGGCGTACCAACTGATGGTTTGCCTCGATCGCAGGAGCGATCTTACCTGATTGAGAATCGGCGTGAATCGTGGCACTCAACCAATCCTCACCTCGGAGCACACACACAGCATCGCTCCCACGTAACCGCAGTCACCCAAGGACACAAAGTCCTCCACAGGCTCATCGACACGTGACTTGCCTCGCGAGCCCGGCCCGCAGATGCACCGTCTTGGCGCCAAGTTTTGTGCAAATGCACGAGGTTCTCCCACTGTCTCCAGAACCCACCCATTGGCTCTGTGCACTCCGTTATATAATCGAGGCTCACGTGACCTACTACGTCACGCCACCCCCACCGCGGTCTATTGCTAACCATTAAGGGTTCGGGTCTCCGTTTCTTAAGATCGGAAGTCCCCAAAGCCTTGTGTCTCCCGTTTCCGCGTTCTTGCTTTAAGGAAAAACCCTTCTCTCCTTCCTGTGGCGAGGAGTTTCCTCTTACTAATCCCTTACCAAGCGTCCCCAAATAAATGCCACGAGGCACGCTGGCTAATACGTTACAGTATACTTGTACCAGACGCTCCCAGTGCGGGCAAAGACCTACTCATGATTTGATGAAGTCGTAGGCTTCCCCGGCCAAAGTCATGTGCGTGATCTTGGCTGTCCGGGTGACGCCGCGTCGAAGGCTGTGTTGCCGACTTTTCGGCCATCTTGTCGTGGTCTTTCTCGCATACTAGCCCTGAGGAAGACCACGGCAAGATAGTCGAAACGTCGGCAACACAGCCTTCGACGCGGCGTCACCCGGACAGCCAAGACTACTCATTGTTTTTTTAGAGGGAGGGGTGTGGTGGACAGTGATATATCTCTGAGTTCCCCAGTTTATCCTGCCTGTGATCAACCATTTGTGCATCATATTTCACTTCATTATCATTAGCACTTTTATGTACTCATTAGATCGTATCACGTGCGCCTCAATGACGTCAGGTGACAGGTGACAGGCCACTAAACATTAATAATTAGTAAAATTTAGTGCGGCGGGTCTCTACCGCTACGAGACCAAAACCAACGGTTAACTCTATCCGGGTATTTGGAGGTTCCCTGCTCGTCTTCAAACTACACACCCCTTTACACTAACGACGTGAGGTTCGTCGAAAAACCAGGGTATCTAGTTAAGATTCAAGCAAATACAATAAATACATGACATAATGCTTAAATGAGTAAAATAACTCGTTATTTATCTTATTTAGCTTACTTAATACGGAACTTACAATTTTGGAATGTTCCCAAGTTTATAATTGCCATCAACCACTCATGTTTCACTGTTCCGCATCACCATTTTTAGAGACATATGCGTCTTGAGGAACAACACGTCTAGTAGTAATATGATGCATATGGCATGGTATGGATATGGCATGGATAACATTCTCAACATGATATTTTTTGATGTTATAAAATATTCTGAATAACTTTGGGCAATATTGGCAAATAACCTAAAAGTACTGTTTCATCAGTGCAATTCACTGTTAGTCACAGTGTTATAGTATAACTCGCAAATACACCATAAACATTTTCATATATTTCTCGAGATTTTACTCGAAACCACTGCCGGTAGCTTTGTTAGGTTTTGCGAGAATTTCCGCAAGAACGTTGTTCCATTTTGTACGAACAAATCAGTACAATAACGATTATGCAAATGTAATTAGAAACACACTGTTTTGTTTATCTGACTTCATACTTAAAAATAACTATAATGGGTCTTTTCACTTTAGACGCAAGAACAATTTATAAAGTGTTTCGAATTCTCGTTTGATGCGTGCTTTGATGAGTGAACTAGTAAACCATAAAGTGCTGTGAGCACCACGGGCGTTATTAGATTGTTTTGCCCCTCAGGCGATTTCCAACCCCTCCCTCGGGCCAGAGGCCTTCAGTGCAAAAACATCAAATGAACGCCCTAGGGACATTAATAACTATTTTTGTATTCCAGCATTATAAATGAACCTTTTCTGTTGCAAGAAATCGTTCATAATCAGGCATTTTACGGCACAAATAATGACGTATTAGATTTTATGTCACGAATGATTGCGTCATCACACATTCAGCCAATCGTTGCGTGAGAATCGGGGGGAGGTCGAGCTAAACGGAACAGCCGACCACCGTGCACAGCACGATGTCAAATACCTGAGTCGTCACAGGAAAGTTGTTTCGCAAAATTAAGTTTGAGTCTCTTATAAATGTATAATGCTGTTATACAAAAAAATATAGTATGCAACTCGTTTATAATGTACATTCGTACAAATTAAAAAACCCGCTCCTAACGTCGCTCTTGTACAACACATGCACTTATGCAATAAAGCTTAACATTATAAATTAATTGCATTTAACTACTATTGTTGCACGTATATTGCTGCCTTAGGGTTGACGCAGATATTTGCCGCGTTCAGTGCACAGCGGACGCCAAGCGGTGTCTTACCGAGGCATCGGATGAGACCGTCGACGTACGGGTACGGCACGCGTCCTTCCTTGCAGGTGCAGCGGTTGTTTTGACACTCGGTGTTCGGCAGGATGCATTGCTTATCGAAGCGGCAAAATTCTCTCAAGTTGGCAGCTGTCAACAAACATAAAACACTTCAGTAGACCCTCGAATATAGAGGAATTACTCTAAGACGGGACCACTTTGACAGGTCGGGAAACAAATGAACGTCACGCAGGGCTACTACATTGCAAGAGATAGTGATGAAGCCATTTACAAATTGAATGAACAAAGTGTAAACGAACTAACAAAATGAGTGCATGGACATAACCTGTAGTTATGTTGCCAGCAGTGGCCAAGCAGTGCCTGTCAAAGCGGTCTCTTCTCATAGTAGTCTCTCTATTACAAGCTGTTGAGAAATTGATTATACGTGGCAATACATTCTCTACTGTATTTTAACTAACCCCAACCCGTCTAACCGAGCAGGAGCGGGCGGTGCGGGTGGAGCTGGCGAGACCGGAGGGGCGGAAGCAGCAGACGGAGCGGAAGGGCAGCCAGAAACGGGCGAAGCAGAATAAGAGCGAGAAGAGGGGGTGGCGGAGGAGGGGCGAGAGAGCAGGTCGAGCGAGAGGATTGGGCGAGGCGGAAAGGAAGAAGCTGGAGGTGCGTGATGGACGGAAGGGTCTGGATGGGCGGGGCGGGAGGTGTTGGCATGCCACATAGGTCGTGTTGGAGAGACAGACGAAGGGTGATGGCTTGAAGGAACAGATAGAGCGGAGGGGTCTGGATTGGCGAGGCGGGAGGTGTTGGCAGGACGGCATGCTAGATAGGGTGTGTTGGAGAGACAGGCGAAGCCTGATGGATGGGAGGAACAGAGTGGAATGGTCTGGATGGACGGAGCTAGAGGTGTTGGCAGGCATGGCTGTGGCAAATGCCAGTCAGGACGTGGTTGAGAGACATGGGCGGGCGAAGCGTGATGATGGGAGAACGATAGACGTGGAAGGGTCCGGATGACGGAGTGAGTGGGTGTTGGTAGGACGGCCGTGAACCATGCTAGTAGGGGTATGTTGAAGAGACAGGCGAAGCCTGAGGGATGGGAGGAACTAGAGTGGAATGGTCTGAATGACGGTAGCGGGGAGAGGTGTTGGCAGATTGGTTGTGGCATGCAGTCAGGACGTTGTTGGAGAGACCAGGCGAAGCGTGATGATGGGAAGAACAGATAGAGTGCAAAGGGTTCCGGATGAACGGAGTGAAGGTTTGTAGGACGGCCGTGGCATGGCTAGAGTATGTTGAAGAGAAAGGCGAAGCCTGAGGGATGGGGAGGAACAGAGTGGAATGGTCTGATGCCGGAGTGAGGGGTGTTGGTAGGGAACGGCCGTGGCAATGCCAGATAGAGCGGTGAAGAGACAGGCGAAGCGTGATGGATGGGAGGAACAGATAGAGTGGAAGGGTCCGGATGCACGGAGTGGAGTGTTGGTAGGACGGCGTGGCATGCTAGATAGGGTTGTGTTGGAGAGACAGGGGCCCCAGGCGAAGCCTGATGGATGGGAGGAACAGAGTGGATGGTCTGGATGGACGGAGTGAGAGGTGTTGGTAGGAGGCGTGGCATGCTAGATAGGGTATGTTGAAAGAGACAGGCGAAGGCTGAGGGATGGGGAGGAACAGAGTGGAATGGTACTGGATGGACGGAGGCGAGAGGTGTTGGTAGGACGGCCGTGGCATACTAGATAGGTGTGTTGGAGCAGAACAGGCCGAAGCCTGATGGATGGGAGGAACAGAGTGGAAGTGGTCTGGATGAGACGGCGTGAGGGTGTTGGTAGGACGGCCGTGGCAATGCTAGATAGGGTATGTTGAAGAGCCAGGCGAAACCTGAGGGATGGGTAGGGAACAAGTGGAATGGTCCTGGATGGGACGGAGCGAGAGGTGTGGTCCGGACCGGCCGTGGCATGCCTTAGATAGGGTGTGTTGGCGGACGAGGCGAAGCCTATGGATGGGGCGGAACAGAGTGGAATTGGTCTGGCTGGACGGAGTGAGAGGTGTTGGTAGGGCGGCCGTGGCATGCCAGATTAGGGCGTGTTGGAGAGACAGCCGAAGCGTGATGAGTGGGAGGAACAGATAGAGTGGAAGCGGTCCGGATGGCGGGGCGAAAGATGTTGGCAGATTGCCATGGACTACTAGGTGCAGGTGTTGGAAGCATGATGTGCTAGAGGAACAGGTAATCGTGGAAAGGGGCTGGATGGGAGGTGATTGTAGGAGGCCACGGGAATGCTTGTTAGGGGCTCGGGGAGACGGAGAAAGCGCGTTGACCGTGAAGAAGTGATCCGGAAAATTATGTGGATGGGTGAGGCGAGCTCCCGAGCCACAGTAAATCGATGGACTGCGGGGGGGGGGGACCTAGCGTTATAAACGAGAACTAACATACTAGAGCGGAGTAGGGTGAATGCGAGGGGAGAGGGGAGTTGTTGGCAGGGTGGCATGGCGGGCCGCAATAGGGCAGGGGAAATAGGTCGATATGGGGGAGGATTGGGGACGAAGCAAGATTGGGAGAGGCGAAAGCGGCTGGTTGGGCGGGGCGGGACTTGTAATTAGAATGTCGATGCCGATAGGGTGAGTTTGGGGAGGCTGGCGCAGGGCTTGCTTAATAGACGATTGGAGAAATAAATATCCGGGCACTGGGTAACTACGCTAATCATTGAATATTTATAAAGTCATCTCAACTCAATTATGTTTCTATTCATAGCGAACGCATTCGAATATTGTAAATTTATTAAAAAATGTGTTAACTCTGTAAAATTTATCAATTGTTGTGTCGACTTTCTTTTAATTCTGAGATGTGGAGTGGTGGAGAGTTTCCCTGGCCCGTGAACTATTTTAAGTTATTACCCGTAAGTGTACTGCAGGCTTACATGCCGGGCAGTTTCACATGAAATTACAATGCGAGCCTTCAAATATCCTTCCTCTAGGCGGCCACCGCACTCTGGAAAAGTTCTGAACAACGAAGGGTCTTCTCAACTTATATGGTACGGTGGTAGACAATAAGTGTTGCGTGTGTGTTAAGTAGAGAAGGGACAAGGATGGAGGGAAAGAATAAGATAGCCCGCGGTCATGGCACGTTTGTAGGATATTGCCCGGCATTCCCACTGAATTGATTGAGCCCCCGAAAACTACGATCAGAGCAATTGGACCTGTAATTATCCGTCAAGACAGTGCAATTTTTCACCGCAGACATGTGGCGTGTATTGAAACGCCGTCCCTGGTCGGACTCGGACCGTAGGGCACTCTCGGTGGCAGCGATCTTCAGAAGTGTGTTTGCTGTGGTATCACTATCAGGTGAGATGCAGAGTTGAACGGCCATCTTTTGTTGCTAAATCGTCTTGAAATCCAGACAGTTAACCGCCACCGTTTGTGGCCACCCGTGACGCTCACAAACTTTCAATCTTGTTTTAAAAAAAATCGTTATCACAGGTGTTATTGTTTGGTAAATTTAACACGAGAATCTTCGACGATTTCATACAGCCCACGTGTGTTACTATGTGCGTGAACACCCCACCATTTGCGCAACATGTCCTGCTTGTTGTGATGGCAAGATCCGCGTGACATCGGCCACTGGGCTGTCGGCGGCACTCCCCCCCAGGCGCACACCGCCCCTTCGTCGTGCAGGCCTCTCCCGCTGGCCGGATGGCTTCCTGTGGCGTCCACCTGCAACACGCACGCGACCGTTGACGGGAAGGGAAAACAATAATATAAATTAAAGAATACGGATCAATACATATAAAATTAAAATAATATATGATAATAATAATTATAAAATTTACAATTATCTCTTCGTATACGCTTCTCATACGCTTTTCGAATATGTTCGAACGCGTAATTTAGGGAAGGGAAAACAAAAAAGAATTAATGAACGGTCAATACATAATAAATTAAAATAATAATGATAATATTAGTAAAATAATAATATAATAATAATAATAATAATAAATAATTAAATAATAATTACAAACAAATTTTACATTATCCTTCGTATTTTATTATGCTGGATTTCGCATGTCTGCGTTCGTGAATAATCAAGTAACTGCACACAATGTGTTCGCACGTTCTTGGACGAGCGGGGAAAAAGATAATAAAATGAATGAAGGGATCAATACAATAATAATTTAAAAATAATAATAATATAATAATAAATTTACATTATCCCCTCGTATTTATATGCTGATCTTCGAATGTAATCGAACGCGTCATTGAGGGAGGGAAACACAAAAATAAATTGAATGAAAACCGGGGGGAATCAAAATTAATGATAAATAAAGAAAATATAAAATGAAGAAAAGTTCATTATCTCATCGCATTTTATTTGCTGATACTTCGTGTTCGGGAGTTGATTAATGGATCAACATAATAAAGCTTCCAGTAGAAGATAAAATTGCTCTTAGGATTATCTGATGTTAATAAAGACACCTCGAAAGTCTCGAATACATTCCCAATAATTACGGAAATCTATATCAAGCATGTACTGTTTGTGTTTTATCTCATTCTGCGTGAAGATGCTTCCGGAGGTCTTCGCGCAGTATCGTCAGTCATGTAATGGTCAGATTTTAGTGCCTTGAATCATGTAATCATTTTTAAATTTTCCTTAAGTGGAAATACATTTTTTAAAAATACCTAATTTATAAAAAATTGCATACGTATTCTGGAAGTGCTTCTTTTATCTTACCTTTGAATCAATATGAAATACAGTATTTCAGAAGTTTTTTATAGTGAATTAAACCTATAATATCTTCTTATTCTACATTAATAAATATCATACTTCTACAAGACATGGCCATTGGGACCGGCTTTTTTTCAACCAATCCGTACAGGCAGACGCAGGTTGTCTACACAATGGTGAGATCGTGTAGCCAATTGCATTGGGCCTGCACTTCACATGTATCGTTTGCGAGCAAACTCCTGAAGCAAAAACGTTGAAATGTTGGGGTATTCAGTATCTTAAAATTATTTGTGCAGGCTCATAGCCTAGGATAAAGGGTTTTTCTCTGGAAACAATAATACAAATATCTCGCTAACGTAAACCCGAAGTTAGGGAGGTGAAGCTTTGCCTGGTCACAGTCAGAACGATAGCAGAGTGGGAAAGGAGTAACA